GGGAGGGAGGGAAGAAGGAAGGAAAAAAAGAAAATTAAGCCACATTGTTTCATTTATTTTGCATGTGCTCTCCCTCCCCCAAACCCCTTCCCCAAAATGGCCAGAGAGATGATTCTACCTCTATTCCGATTGTGTCCTGACTCCTTCCTTAGTTTCACAGAATAATAACTAAAGACCAGAGTTGGAAAGGAACCTTAGTGGTCTTTTAGTCCAACCCCCCTGCCCCAGAACATAGAAACCTAGGGATGGAAGGGACTTTGGAGGTCATCTAGTCCAGGGGTCGCCAACCTTTTGGACCTCAGGGACCACCAAACTCATCATTCTAAATCCCGCGGACCGGAGACCCTGGGAAAATCCCCCAAAACAGTCTGCAGGAAAAATACCCACCCTATTTTCCTACCGATCGATCGTTCTTTATTTGGGATTGCAAGGATACAGTCTCCAGCTCCGTTCTCAGCGGGAGAGAGGGAGGGAGAGAGAGAGAGAGAGAGGAGAGACTTTGGCTGCATGCAAGGAAAACAGCAGAAGTCGCAGAATTCTTTCTTTCTCTACCCCAAACTCCACCAGAAATGAGACTTGTGGCACCGGCACAGCCTCTTGGAGCAGAAGGACTTTCAGAGTGCCAAAGACTCGTTTCTTGGGGGAGAGAAAGAAAGACTTTGGCTGCTTTCCTTGCGTGCAGCCAAAAGCAGAAGAAGAAAGAAGCGGAAAGAAGCAGCCCGGTGGCCAGGCCAGGCGTGTGGAGGGAATGGGGCCCTTTCCCCCCTCCCCTCACTACCTTGTGTTGTGCACAATGCAAGCGACGCAAGCCTTGTGTCCTGAAGGGCATGTGAGTGTCGCAGCCTTGTGTTCCCGTGCAGCCTGGGTTAATTGCTTTGGAGGTGTGTGTGACGTTTCTCTGCGGACCGCTAAAGCTTTCTCACGGCCCACTGGTTGGCAACCACTGTCCTAGGGCACGCAGGAAGGAATGGAGAAGGGAGCAACAGGGGTTGGCTGGCTTAGGGGGGAGGAAAGGGCCCTGATTCCCCTCATTAGCTGCAGCTGGGAACACTGTATAAAAGAGGGCAAATCATGAATTATCTGGTATTGTCGAGGCTTCTCTGGGTTTCTGGCCTCTTCCCGGTGGTATGTGTTTTGCTGGCCTTTCAAGGCTGCAGTTCCTTCTCCTGCCCTGTCCAGTTAATTCCTGCCGCGTGGATCTTGTGTTACCGTTTGTACGTAACTTCGTTTTCGGATGGAATTTCCTCCACTTAGAGGACTGTTCTTGGGAAGAGATTTTTTTTCTTCTCCAGCCCAAAGGTAACCTGGACACTGGGGGGCAAAGTTGGGGATAATTAAAGGGATGCTTCTTGCTTATTTAACTGGATGCCTTTGTGCCACACCCCTTTGGGTCATCACAGGTATGTTGAGCATTGGGTTTTCTCCTCCAACGGGTGTTCTTAACACAGTTCTCTCTCATACGCACAAGACCGGAGTATTACATGATTAGAAGTATGGGTGGGATTCTACCTGGTCGGACCAGTTCTATAGAACCGGTTGTTATGGTTCTGCCCAGTTCGGAGAACTGGAAGATTGCACCACTGGCTGGCCCCTCCCCTCCCCCTCATTCCTTACCTGGCATGCCCGCCATCAAACTTACCTGCTAAATTGCTATTTTTCCCTTCCCCCCGACCGTCAGCTGTTCTCCTGTGCCAGGAGATTTAGATTAGCTAGGAAGCGGGAAACTGTTGGATTTCTTGCTTTCTAGCTAATCTAAAAGCAGAGCTGAACCTTCCTTAGGACTGAACCTCCTATTTTTCAGTGCAGACTCAGGTAGCCGATTCCAGAAAGGTAGATTTCCAAGCAAATCTGTGATTCTGTGAGCAATTCAACCTGCCTGCCTGTTTGCCTGCTTTTGGGTAAAAGTTGCTCTTTTTAAAAATAAAATAAAAAATCAATATTTACATACATGGTGTATTGTGATTTAATTTGTGAGTTTGTTTGCTATCAAATGTTATGAGTTTGCTTGCAAGCAAATTTTATGTGACAGACTCAGCTAGCAGATTGCAGAAAGATAGATCTCTCGGTGATTCTGTGATTCTGAGAGCAACTCAACCTGTCTGCCTGCTTTGCCTGCTTTTGGGTAAAAGTTGCTCTTTTTTAAATAAAAAATTAAATATTTACACTATTTACATACAAGCCACGCCCATCCAGTCACGAGACCACCAAGCCACACCCACAAATTAGGCCACACCCACAGAACAGGTTGTTAAAATTTTTGAATCCCACCCCGATTGGAAGTCGTTGGCCAAGATTCAACAGAGATCTTTGGTTCTGTGTTCCCCTCCAGCCATGGAGGGGTTTGCCCACCAGGATTCCTGGCGACAACGCGTTTGCTCCGGCCGGCGGGTCATCTTCATCCTGATGGGACTTCTGGCTCTGGTTACCCTCTCCCTTGTCGTCTTGGGCTTCGTGGGTGAGTAGGAAATGCGAGTGGGTTATTGCCTTGCTGGTAGTTAACCTAACATCGGAGGTTATTGTTCTATGACACAATTCACTCATTCGCAGCCTCCATTTGTCGGTGGGTGATGGAAGGAGACAAGTCCTTGCATGGTGCTCAGCCTCCTATGGAACTCTTGACAAAATTGAGAGGTGAATTGAACTCCGAGGTGCTCCACTCGGGAGCGCCATGGAGCCTGTATATGTGCTGCATAAAGAGTTTAGCTAGCGTACACGCTGAAGGGATTTTGGGATATGGCATGAAGTGAGCTTCTTTGGGAATGAGGTCAGGGACAACCGAGATTCCCATGTTTTCCTCCTTTCAGCTACTAAAGAAGCATTTCGGTGGAGAGGCAAGGGTGCCCGTGGGGTGTTCCTTTCAGATATGATAGAAGCAGCCCGGTGGCTAGGCGAGGTGCATGGGGGGAGGGGAATTAAGACACCCCTCAAAAAGACGACCATGCCTTTTTTTCAGGGGTCTAAAGAAAATAAGGCTCTGACTTATTTTCTAGGAAACACGGTAGCACCATAGATCAAACAAAAAGTACACTCACCATGTGCTTTAATGCTTAACTGCTCAACTGCAGCAGGTCAATCAATCAGAACAGAGTTGGAAAGGGCCTTGGGAGGTCTTCTAGTCCAACCACCGGCTCAAGCAGGAGACCTTATACCGTTTTGGACAAGAAACTGTCCAGTCTCTTCTTAGAATTCTTCCAGTCAATGGCTGCAAAACACACTACATAACACAACATTACTTAAAAGCGTGCCAGAAAAGAAGGACTGAAAAGGGGCCAGAACTGGGTGAGGTGCAGAAACCTGTAAAGTGACCCCCAAGATGCAGCTACGCAGAGGCACGGACATGGGTTCAAAGAAGTCAGCCAGAAATCTGCTCCTTCTCCCCAGGGCGCAAATACTCCGCAACTTTGTGGATGATGCAAGAAGATGTGAAAACCAGCAATCACACCCTGGCCATGGAATTAGAGGCTTTGGAAAAAAAGGGTGAGTCCCCAAACCCCAGATTAGGGGATGAAAATGGCCAGCAAAATCTCTTGGTTTTCTTTACAGCAATTGTGTGGGGTTGCAGAAGGAGTGCATTTGCTGTGGAGTGGCACGGCCTGAGATTGGGGGGGGGGCACTTTCGAGAATCGCTTTCTAACCGAAGGGTCTCCAACCTTGCCCACATTAAGACTTCTGGACTTCAACTCCCAGAATTCCCCAGCCAGCTTCACTAAGACTTCAACTCTATGCCTGCTGACTCTTATCATCTTTTTCTCTGCAATCTGCCTGCTTACTCTCTCGCCATCCCTTCCTCTGCAATCTGCCTTCTGCTTACTCTCTTGTCATCCCTTTCTCTGCAATCTGCCTTCTGCTTACTCTCGTCATCCCTTTCTCTGCATTCTGCCTGCTTACACTCTTGTCATCCCTTCCTCTGCAATCTGCCTTCTGCTTACTCTCTTGTCATCCCTTTCTCTGCATTCTGCCTGCTTACTCTGTCATCCCTTCCTCTGC